GGATCTTGGCTTGGAGCACAGAAGTCCAAAAATTACAGAACATGCAAGTGAAATGGGGGAGCAAGCCATAAGAGCTCTCTTTGCAGCCACGCAGAGGGGTTTGCTCACAGCCTAGTGTGAAGCTCCCTGAGCCAGGGGTTTCCTGTGGCTTTCCTTGGGGCTCCCTCGCCCTTTGCAGGTGAATGCTTCCTTGAGTTGGTGCTGAGCAGTGTGCACAGTTAATGAGTGGAGAGAAGGCTTCATGTGGAGGGCTGAGTGGTTGCATCGCACTGGTCTCAAGCTGGCAGCTCCAGCTGAGAAAACATCTCTCTACTATTCTTGTCTTTGGATGGCCTTGCAAAGAACTTGTGTCCTAGGCTTGGCTGCCCAGGATGCTGCCCACTTGGGTGATGGTGGTAAGAAAACCAGCTCTCCTGTGGAGTAGTGGCTGTTTGACTTCTTGGGGTTTCTCAGCTCTTCCTGCAAGTGACTTTTCTCTTGTATCTGGTCCCTTCCATTTCTAGTCCTTTTCCCTTCTCTTTAGTTAAAACAATTTTATTCTTTCCTGGACCTCAGCCTAACATTTGTATTCTTTGTGAGAAGATGTAATGAGGTGATGCTAGCAGGATGCTCTTTCAGGCCGAAGTACACTTTTAAAAAAAATTATTGTTTTTGTTGTTAATTCCCAGGCTTTGCCAAGCAGGAGTGGCAGCCAGGAGGGACCCAAGCTGTTTTTGGAGGAGCAAAGTTTGCAAATGTCCATCACCTCTGTCCCAGAGGCTGGCAGAACAGAGCGCAGCAGCTTGGCCTCTTACCTGCTCTGTCTGTATAACGCTTCATAGAAAACAAGCTGCTGGCCTATAAGGGCTAAGCCTTCAGGTGGGAACAAACCTGTCTGCCTGTGTGACATGCAATTGTGCACAAAAAGCCCTATGCTTCCTCCTGGTTTTTTGCATGCCTGGTGCACCGTCCCCCCACATGGCACCTCACAGCTTGGGGACCGAGTCCCCTGCCTGCCCCTCCATGGCCCTGCCACCCCTCCAAAATTCAGTGTGCCCGACGCAAGTGCCCTTGTGGTCAGATGGGGCTCAGGTTGCTCAGGGCAAGTGGCTGGAACTGTGGCCTATTTATGACCTATGAGGCGTGGAAAGTATTAGTGTATTTGCTCAGGACACAGAGGAAACTCCTGAAATCTCTCCAACAATGTGGGAGGATGCACACTGGGAATGTGGGTTTGTTTTTGGAATCATGTGGGGATTTTGTTGAAATTCCTCCGTGTTGTGGGCTCTGGTGACCGGATTAGTCCCCCAGTGCTGCCGTGATGCTGGTGGGCTGCATGTCCCCACACTCGGGCTGCGGTGGGGGTTCGGTCTGGGTTTGCAGACTGGGCCTGCAGGGAAGTTCTGTGCCTGGGGATGTTGAGTCCCAAGAGATGAGACAGACTGAAACCACTGCAGTAATCCTGCTGGTGTGACTGTGACTCGGTGCTGCCATGCTGGTGGGAGTGGGCATGTGCTCTATAGCTGCTGCATCACCCAGCACTTGGAGCTGAGAGGGTGGGGAAAAACATTATTCAAACCATTCCCAGGAAACTTCTTTAACCCTGTGAAGGGGGGTTGGAATTAATTTTTTTTGTGTCCAAGTTAAGGCCTTATGTCTCTGCAATCCTGGGTTTATCACATCTTTCCAGAGTTCCTGATGTTATGTTCAAGGCTTGTGTGGCAGCCCTGGACTGGCCCTGCTCCAGGAATGTGCTCCTTGCCTTTCCTTTTCTTTCTTTACTTATAAATGTGTTTATACCAAACTCTTTGGTATTTCAATGTGTTCTGTGCAGATTTTTTTCCCTGGTTAAACTCCACCTTGGTCATCCTCAACCCCTCAATTTTCAGAGGAGCAAAGAGGTCACCAACCCAAGTCATCCACTTACATGTCTTTGCACGCAAAGATAAATGTAAGCTTGTTAAAACGGAAGACTATAGTTAGTAACACACGCTCGGTCATGGCCAAGTGCCATGAGAAGAATTTGTTATTTTCAATAGCTTGCACTTAACAGAAAATAGCTGACCTCTTCTCTCTCCCAAGGAGCAACAGCCCTGGTAGAGCGATTGGTGTTTCAGAGCTTTGCTAATCCAGTTGCTGGCAAAACAGATCAAAACCAGCGTGCTCTTCAACATTGAAAAGGTTGATCACTCAGCTAGGTCTTGCAGGGTTTGGGGTTTTTTTCCCTTGCCAAGCAAATACTCCATAACTACCTCCTGTCTCTCTCCCAAGCTTGTCTGTGTGTGCGTTTCTGTGTTGCTTTCAGAGGAGGGGGTCCTGCCATGCCTGCTTTCATCTTCCAGCGCTTCCAATGCCTGCTTTCTTCCTTCCCTGCCCTTTCCCTCCCCAGGGCAGTGTGCCATGCTCTCCACCTTTGGGTGAAGCCCCCCACCTTCCAGCACTGGCAGCAGCCTCTCCCCACCTGAAGCTGCCAGCGTGCCACCTCGGTCTAAGTCTCCTTTTCAGTTCCCTGTGCTCCTTTTCCTATTGACTGCCTGTCCTTGTTGTGAAGAGTTATGGTGCTCTCAGAGGTCACTGCTCATCTTATGTCCTCTCTGAGCTGTCCCTCGGACCCTCTTTGCCAGTTCCTTGTCCTACCTGCACTACTTTGCTGCTGTCTCCATGGACATGCTCATCTCGTTCTTCTCCCAGCACTGCTGGGCTCTGCTGCTGCCCTTGTTTTCCCCTTTTCATGCCCTGTTTATGGATGACACCACTTTGCAGTTAACAATGCCCTTGATGATGGCAGTGACTTGCTGACTTGTTCCTGTGCCTATGGTTTGACGTTGCAACTGCATGGAAATAACTGGGCTGGCTCTGTGATTCCCACCCTGAGCCATGGCATGGGATGTGTTGCACCTTAAATAGTGGAACTGATGTAGTTTTGACCAAAAAATACCAAACAACAAACCAGATGTTTTCTGGACACAGGGTTTGCCAAGTGGGATCCCCTCACAGGTACATTCTTGGCAGTGCCCTGTCCTGCTCTGGCAATAGTGGGAGCTCAGCAGGAATTGATGCTGTGGGGAAAGGCAGTGTGCTCTGCTCCCAGCTGCTTGTTGGACCAGTATGAATGGTTGTGGGTGGTGATAGCCTGGTCTGGGTGAGCTGATCTGGCTGAAAACAGACCTATGCCACAAAAAAGGTGTCTTTCACCTGGATCAGCTTCTCCAAACAGCATGTCTGAACGTTGGCCTTCCATGAAGCTGCATGGAGGTCAGCATTGCATGGTAGGTGTTGTGGTGGGGAGAATTGCACCTTTTCAGAGGCAGGTTGGGTTTATTTTGGGTTGAAATGACATTGTACCTATCAATTTTGTATTCTTAAAGACCTGAGGAACAGCCTGCTTTTTAGGGGTGCATGCCAGACTGCTCATTATTGAATACACCTCCGGTTTTCCTAGCAGGGAGGTGTGATGTGCAATTAAATGCCCTCCCAGACTTGCCCAGTGGGAGGGGACACACTGACCTTCCCCAGAAAGCTGGGGCAGAGCTTAGGGCTGTGCTGCCCTGCCAGCAAACACCTTCTCTCCTACGACTGTGCCAGCAGGGCTGAGCACCAGGAGCCTGGGCTGCCATTTCAGACACTGCAGGGCTGCCACTGTCAACCCAGACACCTCTGAGAAACCGCAGGCCAGCAGCGGAGGGTGTGCAAGAGGGATGCAATGGGATGTCTTCTCCTGATGCTCCTCTGGGAATGACTCCTGTTGCCGTGCCCTCAGGGGAGCAGCCAGAGACTAGTGTGAGCCCCCAAGGCACTGGGCAGGAGCAGGTTTCAAGGGTGGCCCTGGACCCATCCTCTTCATATGGCTTTTATTAATAACAAAAATAAGTTGGGTTAAATAGGGCATCCTTTCTGCAGCCTCAACTGACACAGGGTGGAGGAGGAGGGTGGCGGGCCAGGACTCGGG